GGGCACTCGGGTTTTTTCCAGATTCTGGCTATTGTAAACAGTAATGCTAATCCTTTCTGGGGGGTTCAATTTGTTTGGTTTTGGGGCTACACGGAGCAGTGTTCATGGTTTACTACTGTCTCTGGCCTCAGGGATCACTCCAGATGGGGCTCAGGGGAACATATTGTGATGCCAGGTGTCAAATCTGGGTCAGGTGAGTCCAAGGCAAGCGTCCTACCTGCTGTACTATCTCTCTAGCCCAATACTAATAATATTTTTTAATGACAAAGTGACTAGATTATTATTAATTTGAGTTGATTTCATTATGGCTAACAAAAATAAACAATTTAAAAATAGACAAAAGGGAGGAGTGGAGTGTTTGGCAGAAGCCCATTGGTGGGGCATTTGCCATGCATGTGTGAAAAAGGCCTGATTTCTTCCCCCACCATCACCTTTTTAAAATTTTTTTCATAAAGTTGTTCACAATACTGGATTACATTCAATATTTCGACACCAGTGCCACCACCATCACACCTGCCCACCACCAATATTTTGAGTTTCCCTCTACAACTCAAACCTGCCCAACAGGCAGATGCTAGATAATTTATTTGTATTGCCCGCTAGGAATAACATAGGATGTCACACAGCGGCCGCGCGCCAAGAAATCTAAAATTTTAGATAATTAGGGTCTAGAGAAATCTCTGAAGTGAGCTGCTCGGTTCGGAGATTCTTTTGTGTGTCTCTGGATCATGGTGGTTAATGAGCTTAAATAGTCGCTGGAGGCAGCTTGCGGGTGTGATATCCAGGGTCCCATGGGGGCGGGGAGATGGGTAGAGGCCTGGTTTCAAAGCCCCGCATCGTCAATTTTTTTTTTTAATAGGAAGGCTTGAGTATAACCCCTTGGCATTCCCATCAGAAACAGCAATAACACCTGCAACAGTTACCAGGATGGAAAGGGAGAGGGAGGAGGAAATCATGAAAAACAAAAGGAATGAAAAAAAACTAAGGTTGTTGTCGGGGCCACGCCTCGCTGTGCTGGGCCATTTGGGGGTGAAATAAACGGCCTTTTGGAGGCATTTGCTTTTGTACCACAGCCCACCAGGCCCCAGAGGAGTGAATTTTGAGATTTACTTCAGAGTGGATACACCTTAAAGATATGATGCTAATCGAAGTAGGCTGGCACAAAAAGACAAAATCTCCAGGTTCCCGTGTCTGAGTGAGTTTCCTAGAGGAGAGGAGTTTGTAGAGAGAGGAAATAGAATGATGCCAGGGGCCCGAGCCAGATAGCACAGCGGGGAGGGCTTTTGCCTTACATGTGGCTAACCTGGGTTCAATCCCTGGTACCCCATGTTGTCCCCCGTGGGCAACCAGGAGTGATTCCTGAGTGCAGAGTTAGGAATAACCCCTGAGCATTGCCAGGTGGGATCCAAAAAAAAACATAAACAAAAACAAAACAAACCAAGAAGAGAGAAATTAGAACGGCACTTGCAGCAGAGAAAATACAGCGACCACCAAATAAGTTAGATGGCGCCGACCCTGTTTCTCTAGTGAGCGGAGTACAGGGAGAGGGAAGACACAAAGGGCTGGAGCACATGCTTCGCATATGGGAGCACCAGCTTTAATCCCAGGCACAATCTGATCCACACCCCCGCCCTGCACCCCTGCACCCTGTTTGGCTCACTGTGAGGCCATTCATCTTTCGTGCTAGAGTTCTGCCGCCACAGGTGATTCTAAGGCCGTCATTCTCACAACTGGGGAGATGTGTTCTGGGGGTGCACGTGAGGGAGCAGTCGGGGGCCTTGGGGAGATGGGACCCCAGGTGAGGTGCAGCAATAGTGTATCTCACAGCTGCCCCACGCCACCCCGTCCGCCTCACCCTCCTCCTGGTTCTTCCCGGGCTCCTCCCCAGGCTCTCCCACACTTGGTTGTTTATTTACTTAGGATTCTGCTGGGAGGGGACCCAGGACAGAAAACCAACAGGCTGAGTGCTCTCCTCGGGCCACGCTCCCCTGCACAAATGCAGGCTGAGTGCTCCCCGTTGGGCCATACGCTGTCCCCCCCCACACACACACACACATGTGCAGGTTGAGTGCTTCACTCTGGGCCCACACCCTCCCCCTCCACACACACAAACACACAGGCAGGCTGAGTGCTCCCCGCTGGGCTATACCCTGGGCGCGCGCACACACACACACACACACACACACGCGCACGCGCGCGCAGACTGAGTGCTCCTCACTGAACCATACCCTTCCCCCTCCCACACACACATGCATAGGTTGAGTGCTTCCCAGTGGGCCACACTCTGGGTCCACACACACACACACACACACACACACACATACACACACACACAGTCTGAGTGCTCCCTTCTGGGCTACACCCTGGGTTGCACACACACACACATAACACACACACATGCAGACTGACTCTGCCCCATCTGGGCTACACCCTGGGTGCACATGCGCACACACGCGCGCACGTAGACTGAGTGCTCCCTGCCGGATCACATCCTGGGAATTACACACACACACACACACACACACACACGCAGATGAAGTGCTCCCCAATGGGCCACACTCTGGGCATATACACACATACACATAGGCTGAGTGCTCCCCACTGGGGTTACACCCTGGACACGTGTGCGCGCGCACACACACACACACTCACACACACGCAGGCTGAGTGCTCCCCGCTGGGCTACACCCTTGGGTATACACACATACACACACACACAGACTGAGTGCTCCCCACTGGGCTACACCCTGGGCACACACACACGTGCTCCCGCTGGGTTGAGTGCTCCCGCTGGGCTACACCCTGCCCGTGTGCAGCTCCTCTCAGCCTCTGTGGACAGTGTGCTGAAGACAGCGGCCGGCCCTCCACCCCACTGCATAATCATCTCCCCCCCCCCCCCCCGGCTTAACTTTATGCTTTAGGGGGCTGCCGTGGCAATGCTGCGGAGCCCAGGGTGCTCCCGGCTGTGCTTGAATTGTGCATGTGGTGCCAGGACTGGACTTGGGGCCTCCTGTGCAATGCAGGGGCTCCAGCCCTCTGCACCGCCTCCCCGGCTGCCTCCCCTCCTTTAAAGCTCTCTGCTCCCACTCCCCTTTCCCTCACCTCTTCTCTCTCCCCCACTGTTGTGCTCCTGGCACCGTTCACTTTCCTGCTTCCGGTTACTTCTCACTCAGGCTCTGAAAGCCGCAGGAAGGGCTGTCTAGGCCAGCTGTAGACTTGGTCCCTGGCACTTCCTGGGAGAGGCCCGTGTCTCCCAGATTCCTCCCAGAATGGAGAGGGGACAGCGGCCATGACACTTGGGAGGCCTTTCGCGGGCAAACAGCTGCCGAAGATTCTTCGGGAACCCCCATGGGTAAGAGTGCTGCCCCCCTCCCGCCCCCCGGCCCTTCACCCAAGGACCTTCAGGCTTTTGTGGGTGCACATCTAAAACAGCCCTGGAGTCCCCCATGTGGCAGTCCAGACCCAGCTTCTGAGCAGCCGAGAGAGCCAACCTGTCGGGGTTGAGAGCCGCCTGCTAACGGGCAGAAAATGAGCTCCCTGATCCCAAAGTTCTGTACAAAGGCCCCCTGCCGCCAATGTGCAGTGAAAAATTCCCCCCAGAGTCACGTGCCCCGAGGGTGGCTCTGGGCTCGCCAGGCTCTCGGCTGCTCCCCGCAGCTCCCCCATGCCCGGCCCACGGGCCTTGTGCGGGACTCCTGGCGCCGGCCCCTGGCGGCGAAGACGCGAAAAGCAGCAGCTTTGGCCGCCGCCCAGCGGCCCCATCTGTAATCTTCCTGCCCAACCTGGCTCTGGCAGATCCCGGCACACCGAGAAGCTGCCACTGCGGGGGTGATTCAGCCGGGGGTGGGGGAGTTGGGGGGTGGACACGGGACCCGGGGCCTGACACTGGCTTCCGAGGAGAGCTGAGAAGCCCAGCCCCGGAGCGAGCCTCAGCACAAATGCCATCCGAACGGCTCACCCTCTGCTGGCATCACCGAATCCCCTCCTCGTGGCTTTAGGCCAGTGGACCCCTGTTTCTTGCTCCCTAAAATGCAGCCTGAACCGATATCCAGACCCTGCCAACGGGGACCCCGCTTCTTTCTTCCCCAGGCCCTCCCTCTCCCCCCACCCCGCCTCCAACTGGTGTCCAGATTGTGGAGATTGAACTTTATTATTTTGGGGGCCACACCCAGGGGCGTCTCCAAACTCCGTGCTCAGAGGTCGCTCCCTGAGGTGCCAGGGATCAGCCAGGGATCAGCCGCGTGCAAGGCAAGTTTGTCCTTTATTTATCTTTCGGGGGGAGCGGGAGGGGGAGCAGGAAGAGCAGGATCAGACAGATGGTGCCAGGCTTTCAGGGGAGCCCAGCTGGTTCGGGACACGAATGGGCACTGCCTCAGGGGGACCGGGGATGGACAGACGTGCCCCACACAGACAATGTCCTCACGACTGCAAAAGCTCCCCACCCCAAGCCCTTTCCACTTCCTTTCACTTCTAGGCCCCCACCCCGCACCCCCGGTGGCCTGCCTCACTTTGTCCCGTGGGTCCCCCCGTAAAACGGCTCTCCTAGCAAATGGGGCTTTTCTGCCCTGTGACCTCAAGCTGCCCCCCACCTATAGACATGCACCCCCGAGAGATGAGGAGGAACGGACCTGGCGCCTGCACAGCATGCTTCCGCCCTCCCCAGCACCCTGGCGTGGGAGAAAGGCCTTGTGGGAGAAGGCAGGCCCACCCCCGCAGCACCCCCACTTCCAACAGGCCCCTCCAAAAGTCACCTCTGGCAGCAGATTGGGTGCCAGACTGCGCTCCACCCGACTTCCCAACCAGAATGTTCTTGCTCTTTCTCCCCTCCCCGAAGAGTTTGTACTGCACTGCCAAGGGAAATCCAATGTCAGAAGCCCCCTCAGAGCTGGCTGCATGCCTCCCCTGCCGTGCAAGGGCCCTGGGGTGGGATTCTAGTCGCAGCGACCCCCCCCCCCCCCGCCAGCCAGCGTCCCAGCATCCTCCCAGAGGGGCCCGGGCTTTGGTCGGGCAGCTCTCCCCGTGGCGGGCTGTCGTCGCCGCCGCCGCCGTGCGGTGACTCAGGGTGGCCGGCGGCGCGTCAGGTGCCCTTGCTCTCTGTCCGCTCCTCATCAACGGTCTGGGCTGTGCTGACCGTGCGCAGTTGCCCCACGGCTGCGGGCTTCACCGACAGGACCAGGCGTTTGCGGAAGGTCTCACAGAGCACGATGTACACGAAGGGGTTGAGGCAGCTGTTGGCATAGCCGAGGCTGATGGCCGCGTTGTACAGGTAGACGAAGGTGAGCGTCGGGCGGCTGATGGACAGCTGCGTCAGCTGGAGCACGTAGTAGGGCGCCCAGCACACGAAGAAGACCAGGCAGATGGCGATGGCCGTGCGGGTCACCCTCTTGGTCCGCAGTCGGATGCTGCGTTGCGAGGCGGGGGCCACCGAGGACGCCATGCGCTGCAGGATCCTCACGTAGGCGGCCGTGATGACCACGAAGGGCAGGGCGAAGGCCAGGAAGAACTGGTACAGGGTGAACCAGTAGAGGTCAGTATCCGGCCTGGGAAGGCGGATGCCGCAGCCCACGGCGCCCCCTGGGAAGGGGATGAGCCTGGCGTAGAGCCACACCGGGGTGATGCTGACGAAGGACAGTGCCCACAGGAGGCAGATGACCAGGGTGGCCACGGACGGCTTCCGGAACTTGGTGGAGGAGATGGGGTGCACAGTGGCCAGGTAGCGGTCGATGGCCATGGCCGTCAGGATGTAGGTGCTGGTGAACTGGCTGTTGGCGTCCATGGCGGTGATGAGCGTGCACATGGTCTCTCCGAAGTGCCACACGCCGTTGCCCATGAGCTGGTGGATCATGAATGGCATCCCCAGGAGGAAGAGGAGGTCCACCACCGAGAGGTTGATGATGAAGATGTCAGGCACGTTGCTGCACCAGTGCAGCTTCGACTTCTTCACCACGGCGAAGATGACGGTGGAGTTGCCCACGATGCCCAGCAGGCAGATGGTGCCGAACACGGACGGCATGATGATGTTGACATAGGAGACGCTCCCGGAGCGGGGACGCAGGCCTGGGGACGAGACGGAAGGAGCAAGCGCCCCCATGGGATCCGGGTCCCCTCGCCAGCGCTCTGAGCTCTGAGCCCAGCGACCCTGCCAGCCGGGTGCCAGCCCTGTGCCCTGGCCTTCCCCATGGGTCCCCTGGGCAATTCGACCAGACTCTCTCATACCACCTGTTTGCTGAAGGGCCTAGTCCCTTGCCTGTGGCCGCCTCTCAGCAGGCCGGACTCAGAGCACCACAGCAGAGCACTTCACCGGGCTTCACGGGCAGTCTGTGGAAATACCTAGAAGGGCACACGTGTGTGTGCATGCCTGCCTGCATGTACACACAAGTATATGTGTGTTGTCCGCATGAGAGTGTACATCACGTGTATACACACACACGTGTGTGTGTATGTGTGTGTGTTTGTGTGTGTGTGTGTACGTGTGTGCGTGCCTGCATGCCGGCACACAGGGGCTGAGTTTTCTTCTATTTGCAGCCCCGCTTGTTTTTCCCTGTGGCAGCTGTTGGTTGGGAGCTGTGTGTGCCTCCACTGCAGGGCATCTCTGTGGGTGACTGTCTTATGGCTTGTGCCCACCGCTTCCTCGCTTCCTCCACAGCCCTTCCGGCTCCTGCTTCCCATGAGGGATCTCCTTGGTCCCAGGGCCCCCTCTACCCCCACTCCCTCCCCACTTCCCACTCCCTCACCCCCTGTCATGGGGACCTAAGCTGGGGACCCAAGCTGGGCTCCGCAGTCCGGCCACCTGGAAATTATTTCCACACCAGCCTCTTCCCTTTCTTGCTTCTCCTCCTCTTTTTCTTCCAAGCTAGAAATCCAGGGCACCTGGGCTCCGGGAATGCCGGGCAGCGCTCCCTGCCCCTGGAAAGTTATTCCCCCTGGAAACCCGGGAGTTCCCGGCTTTGCAGGGGCCTTGCCCAGGGAGCACTCAGCGCCTGAGAATCCCTCAGTCCTGGTAGGAGCGAAAAGCCAGAGCCCCCGGGGCTGTCTCCCCACATCCAGCCCTCCACCTTCTCCTCTGTGATTTTTTTTTTCCCCTGCCAAGCCTGCCTGGGACTCGCCGCTGCCCCTTCACACTTCATAGGGCGCCCCTGCCCTGGGCCGCCTCCCGCCGGCCCCACCCCTGCCTCTAGGCCCCTGCCCCATCCTGCAGCGGACTGCAGAGCTCGTCCCCAAGAACTGTCCCAAAGTTTCCCAAAAGCACTTGGGCTGCGAGGGGGACGCTTCCACCGCCCACCCCCAGAGCAGAGGAGGGAGCACCCCCTTCCCTCTCGCCCCCTCCACCTCCGGGGGACTCACCCGCCAAGGTGAGGTTATCCGGCCCATCCGAAGCGTTGCTGACATTGGGGCCGGGGGGCGGCAGCATCGAGGCTTCCAGGTCCATCGTGGCCGGCGGCTCGGCCCGCGCCCGCCTGCCCGCGCGTCCGCCCCCGCCGGCTGCCGCAGCGCCCGGCGCCCGCCCGCACGTCCCGGCACCCGCGTCCCGCCGCCCTCCAGGAGGGGGGTCTCCCTCGGCCGCCCGGCGCCGCTGACGCCTCCCCGCTCCCTCCTTCCCGGCTCCCACTGACATCACCTAGACACATTAACATGCCGAGCGGATGCGCGTTAACCTCTTCGCGCCCGCGCCGCCGCAGACCGCCCGCAGAGCGGGGCTCGGGACGCCCCGGGACTGCCGCAGGCTGCAAGGGAGGGTCCCGGTCTCTGGAGGCGCGAGGGCTGCCTCCTTGGGGGGAACGGGGGCGATGGGGGGCGAGCCCAGGGCGGGCGGAGGGGACACAGGTGACTGCGGAAAATCCAAGGGTCTCACCCACCCCCTCCTCCCGCGTCAGCCCTCCCCAGCGCCCCTGTACCCGGATTCCAGCTAACTGGTGAGACTGCCAGTGTCTTTCAGAAGCCCAGGAACTGTCCAGGACAGAGCAACCGGCTGGCTGGTGACAAGCCAAGTCCTTGGGAGCCAGAAAGGGGACAGGCTGGCAGAAGTCTTCCATTCCCAAATGTTTGATGTCCTTGAGGTTTGGCTTTTGGTTTGGTTTTCTGTGTGTGTGTGTGTGTGTGTGTGTGTGTGTGTGTGTGTGTGTGGTGGAGGGGGCGGGAACTGGGCCACATTCCTGCAGTACTTGGGGGACCATGTGGTGCAGGGGATTGAACCCAGCCGCCCACATGCAAAGCCTGTGCTCCCTGCACATGCAATAGTTTTTGAGGCGTTCACTGTGGACTCCAAGTAGCAAATACCACAATCTCAACTCCCCTCTCAAATCCCTCCCAAAAGAGATCATCAAACAGAGACAGCCTCTGGGGAGGTCTCCTGCTCTTCCCCTGGGGTCCCTCAGGCCAGGCAGCCCCCAACCAACCCCATGCCTCTGTCTCCTGCAGGCGGTTTACGGTTGGGGAAGGCACTCTTGGCTCCCTCAGAGGCTCAGGTGCTGGTGCCTAGTGAACCGTGTGCCTGGGCGATATTGGGGGTTAGAGAAACATGAGAAACTCTATCTCCAGGACCTCACACCTCTGAGGCAGCACGTGCTTTGACCACTGAAGCCACATCCCCAGTCCCTTGCGTCTTTATGTATTTGCTTCAGCCCCCACAAAATGTTTATTGAGCACATACTACTTGCCTAGCACTTCTGTAAGTAAAAAACAAAGACCCTGAGTCTCTGTCCTCACAGAGATTACTATCAAGTTGGTGTGTGTGTGTGTGTGTGTGTGTGTGTGTGTGTAAATATACAAAGTAAGGACAGATTGTGATATTGGGAAGGAAGGAGGGGGAAAGGGAAGGAAAAAAGACCACTTAAAGCAGAGTGAGCCAACATAGACGCCGGCAAGGGTGGGGGAGGCTGCTTTGTTACTCAGGAGGCCTTTCTCAGAAGTGTTGTTTGATAATTTGCCTGTGATTCTCCCCATCCCCCGCCCCTTCCCTGTTGTGGTATCGCTATTGCATACACACTTAGCTGGGCTCACACATTTAGCCACAGTGCTCACGGGGTCCTGTTGCTCAGGCTGCAGTGCTCACACAGTCGACCACAGTGCTTACACAGTGCTCCTCGAGCTCCGTGCACTCCCAGGGGCCACACTCTGAGCTGAAGCACACAAGTGCGCCCACCATGCCACAGGCTTGCTCACCAAGAGGGCGTCCTCGGGGCAGTGGGGTGCCCGCTGGAGGTCATGCCCCTTCCTGCGATGCCCGCACTGGCCTGGCCGTGGTGCAGCCAGGGATCACTTTGGGTGTGGGGCTGGCAGTGGGATGGTGTCAGCACACGTGGGACCCTTGGATTTGAGTCTGTAACTAGACGAGAGCAGGGCCGGTGCCCTGAGCCCTCGCCTCAGGCCTCTGGTTCCTCTGAGCCTAAGCAGTGTTTCGTGGTGAAGAAGTATCTGGGGACTCTCTGGGGGAGGCGCACTGTGGGCGGCGGGAGTCCCTGAGGGAGGACAGTCTTAGAAGAACTGTCTGGTTCTGATGAAGCCCAGGGGAGTGCCGATGGCGGCTTCAGAGAGGAAACAGCAGGAGCCTGGACTGGCCATCACTGGAAGGACTTAGACGGTTCCTTTGGGGGGTTATGATCCCCAGAGAGTTTGCAACTTTGGACAGGCTGGAGCAGACATTCTTCAGAGGATTAGCCCGCTGCTGTGCAGCAAGAGAAACAGGAAGGTGTTTTAGGAGACAGAGAGATGCCTCAAAGGGTGGGAGCAGCTGCTTTGCATGCAGGAGACCCGGGGTTCGGTCCCTAGTACATAGTCTCCTGAGCATTGCCAGCACAAGCCCTGAGCACTGAGCTACTGAGCTTGGAGGAGCAACACTGCACATCAGGGTGTTCTTGCAGAAAAAATAAAGGTGTTTTTTTTTTTTTTGCTTTGGGTCACACCTGGCAATGCACAGGGGTTACTCCTGGCTCATGCACTCAGGAATCACTCCTGGCATCATGCACTCAGGAATCACTCCTGGCAGTGCCCAGGGGACCATATGGGATGCTGGAAATCGAACCCGGGTCAGCCGTGTGCAAGGCAAATGCCCTACCCTCTGTGCTATTGCTCCAGCCCCCAAATATTTTTTTAAAGAAATGTACAAGACTGGGGGGGGAATGTAAAAAAAAAGAGTATTTTTTTTTAAAAAAAGAAGAAATGTACCAGAGGCATCAGGTCTGCACCCTAGGTTTTTGACCCAAGCAAACAAAAAATGATGGTGTCTTTTTTTTTTTTTAATATGAGAGTCTGTGGGAGGAGATTTGGAGAAGATTCACAGAGTTCTGATCTGGGTGTGTGTCGTTTGAGATGATTGTTAGCATCTGATTGGACATGGTGGTGGCAGTTGCATGAGTCAGCAGTTCAAGGCGGAGGCCAGTCCCGGAGACAGGGGGTTAAGCTGATGGCACTGGAGCTCACCTTGGGAATGCTACAGATAGCAGTGTTCGGAGGATTGGGTCCTTACTCAGTATTTTGCCCCTTTCATCCCTCCCTCCATCCCTCCATCCATCCCTCCCTCCATCCATCCAGAAAGGTATTCTTTCATTTTTTTCCCTCTTTTGTATTCGGGCTGGAGTGATAGCACAGCGGTAGGGCGTTCGCCTTACACGCGGCCAACATGGCCGACCCGAGTTCGATTCCTCCGCCCCTCTCGGAGAGCCCGGCAAGCTACCGAGAGTATTCGATATGCCAGACACAGTAACAACAAAGTCTCCAATGGAGACGTTACTGGGCCCGCTCGAGCAAATCGACGATCAACGGGAGGGCCTTTTATTATTTATTTTATTTATTTGTATTTTGGGCCATACATAGCAGTGCCCGCTGGAGGTCATGCCCCTTCCTGCGATGCCCGCACTAGGACTGACTCTGGGCTCTTCACTCAAGGACCCCTCTTGGTGGGACTTAGGGAAACTGGGGGTGCTGGGGATTAAATCCTGGTTGGCCAACTGCAAGGCAAACACTCTGCCCCCCTATACTATCTCCAGTTTTGAACCCCTCTATGTATCAGGCTATGGAAGAAATGAAGAATACCTATCCAGTGATTGATATCAAGGAGCATAAACCTACTCCCCCCTACCCCCGTCCCTGATTTTATGGCTTGGTGACATTAACCCAGCCGTCGGCAGAATAACTGTGTTTGTGCTTGGATTGGCAGTTTAAGGAAGTGGTGCAAAGAAGGGTCCGTGCAAATCCCTCCCTTCCAAAGTCGTGCGCTAGAAGCAATACTGTCCCCCTGGGGAACCAAAAAGATGAATACGACTATCAAAGTCTTTTAGGAGGCCAGCGAGGTAATTTCACCACTTTCCCGCTCCACTCCGCCGTCTGGCCCGTGGAGACAGTCAAATGACAGTGGTTTGCCACAGGCTTCATTACGGGGCGACTCTGGCGGCAGCTGCTATTTCAGATATGGTATTGCTGGAAGAATCAGCACAGCCCTGGCACCTGGTATGCAGTAATTGATCTGGCAAATAAATGCCTTTTCTCTCTGTCCCAGAGGCCCTGCTTGTGTTTGTCGGGGTCATCAGTTCTCTGGCACCTACCCCAGGACTTCTCGATCAATCTTCCTGAACCACAGCCTGTGTTTGGGGATTTGTCCACCAGGTGTGAGGTAAGTCCCCCTCTTCAAACTGAAAGAAACTAAAGAGGTCTGATAGTCACTTTTCTCATCATCTAACACCCCTGAGCACAGAGCCAAAAGTAAGCCATGAGCACCACTGGATGTAGCCCCCAAACAAATGGCAACAACAACAACAGTAATAATAATAATTCATATTAGGTTTCACCAATTAGTTGCATCTCTTAAGACTTTGAGGGACTGGAGTGATAGCACAGTGGGTAGGGCATTTGCCTTGCACACGGCCGACCCAGGTTCGATTCCCAGCATCCCATATAGTCCCCTGAGCACCTCCAGGAGTAATTCCTGAGTGCATGAGCCAGGGGTAACCCCTGTGCATCGCTGGGTGTGACCCAAAAAGAAAAAAAAGACTTTGAAACCGCAGTGAAGTGGCCCGAACAGAGAGGAAGAGAACTGTCCGACCACTGGTGGTGGCAGCATCCAGTGTCCAGAGGGAGTGACAGAGCCATGTTTCTTGATGGCTCATTTTAGATCCACCTGATCGGGGTGCGCAAGCCCCAGGTGTTCAGCTAAGCTTGATTTCTGCGGGCCTGTGAGGGCGTTTCTGGTCAGATGAACTTCTGCATCGGCTGGCTGACTAAAGTGGAAAGACTGGCCACCATCGCTTCCATTCAGGGTTGAATAAAGCCAAGTGGTAGAGGAAGGGGAAATTGATTCTCACTGCCTGACGACCTGAGCCGGGACATCTATCTTCCTGCTCTCAAATGGGAAATGACACCGTTAGCACCTCTTAGTTCTTAGCCCTTCAGACTCACTTTGAACCACTTTCAGGGGTCTCAGCTTGCAGAGAGCAGGTCCAGACTTCTGGGCTTCCATATAGCCTCCCCTTTCTTTCCTTCTTTCCTTCCTTCCTTTTATTTAGAAAAATGGTAAGAAAAGTCAAAGGGAGAGAGAGAGAGACACACACACACACACACACGAGTACATTCAAGGGCAGCAGGGACTACGCCAAGCCAATTTCTTGTAATGAATACAGTCATGCACTGCATAATGGAATTTAGTTCGAGAGCGGAGCCATGTGGCGATGCTGTCACTGTGTGAATATCGAGCTCTCACATAAATCTCCACAGCGCGGTCTCCTGCACATGTCGCTGTATGGGAGAACCTAGGCAGCGTTTCGCCACATTTCTCTGACTGTGCCCACCCCCGCTTTGCTTCTTTCCTATGGGCCCCCATCCCACAAGTTGTCCTCTAGTCTCATGCTGTGGCTCCCCCTTCGGT